TTGTCTTTTTTTTTATTTATTTTGTATCCTCTATAGATACACTCCATTTGAGAATATTTACAACCGCACACATACACACACACACACACACACACACACATATATATATATATATATATATATATATATATATATATATATATAATGAAAAAAAAAGACACAAAGAAAAACTATACTTAACCGACATGTTTTGTCCTCTGAGGGACTTTATCAAGGCAAGGCCTCAGAGGATGAAATGTGTCGGCTAAATATAGTGTTTCCCCTTGTCTCTTTTTATTCATTTTGTCTCTTCTACAGATACACTCCATCTGAGAATATTTACATATATATATATATGGCCTGAAGTTTGCGTTCAAGCATGAAACAGTCTATCGCCACTCAGTGTCCATTTTTATATTTACATACAGTCTTTCCGTGATATTGAGAACTTTTACACATAAATATCACACACCTTAAAACTATTTTTATCATATATATTTCACTGACTAAGGAGCGATAGCTAAGCACGTAGGAAATACTGGTTAATGCTTAATCATCAAAGCTTTAGAATGATTTCACCAAAATTGTATTTGTCACTCAGTCATGACTAATAGTTTTGTATGCAATGTGCATAATCATCTGGCAACCAATAATAGCCTCTAGTGTAAGGTGTGTCTGTTTCCCGTCAGTGGGCTGAGGATAATAAAGTTTGGTTGACAGTGCATAAACCAATGAAAATCACCAAGTACAAAAAAACAGCTACATGGCACAAGATGGAATATCCCAGAAGTCAGAATCAGAAATGGTGGTAAATCCAAACTTAAATTCGATATTCGGCAGGGGTGACATATATCAGAACACTGATGTATTGTGTCTAACAAAGAAGCTCAACTGTACTAAATGGAAAAGATTTCCATCCAACAGCAAACAAACACACACACATATATATAAATATATATATGTATGAAAAATTTCTAAGAGTTAACCTGTAGAAAAAGACAACTTAGCTAACACACTAGTAATCTATAGAAATAAATTCAACCACAATTTTGATTTTTAAAATGCTACACTCATAAAAAAAAGAAAATAACTCACTCAGAAGGAAAATCATCAAGAGTGCCGCCATTGAATATTACCCAAATATTAATCTAGGCCCAGGCTTTTTCCCTATTTCACCTTAACAGAATTACTACTCTCCCAAACAAACATACACAACAGTATTGTGAAATCAAAAGAAAATGGTTGAATCTGTCAACACAGCAATAATAAATTCTTCCAGTAGCTAAGGATATTTTGTTTTTGCTATTACTTTGTTTAAATAAATTCATTTCGTTTTTTGCCTTGAGAAAGTCCACAATGGACAAAAAGTGTCGGCAACTATTACAGTTTTCCTATTGTCATTTATATATATATATATATATATATATATAAGCAAATATATGGATATAGATTCGATAGTATGAAGAAATACAAAGGGGTTTTTTAATATGCAATTATGCTGTATTAACGTCGACTTTATATTAACATTAATACAGCATAATTGCATATTAAGATTTTTGTTTGTTTTTTCTGTATTTTTCTTCATATATATATATGTTACAATACTTCCTTGGTTATCCAGACATCTTGGGACAGAGGTTGAAAAATTGTTTGGATACTTAAAAATTGAATACCTAAATTATTGAAAAAGAATTAATAGGAGTAGATAGATTTGCCTATCACCCGGTTCACACTTCTCCCCGGCCTTTTGAAAACAAATAGAGGTTTCCCCCTTGTTTCCCATTTAAGAATTGAATTTCCGGCTCCTTCTAAAGTCTCTTTTATTCTTCCACTCCCAGTATCCAATTGAACTTTAGTGGCATTGCTTGAGGTGAATTGATTAAAAAAAATAAAATAAATATTTTCAAAAACATAATTTAACATTTATAAAATCAAATAAGGTTTTCAAATACTTTGTTTATTTTTAAAGAAAAATCTGTCAATTTTTCTCCGTTTCCTGCTGCCTCAGCATTTTTCTGCCACTAATCCCACCAAAACTGGATTACAGTAGAGATATGTTTGTAAGGATAGTTTCTGGTTGAAAGCACAACCAACTTCGGCATTTATCAAATACTAGCAGTAGAGCCCGGTGTTGCCCGGGAATGTAAAAGTAAGAGATAGATCAAGTATCGACCATCATAAAGACTGAAAAATAAAATTGACAAAGATTATTGTTTAAGGTTGATGGACACGCATGTCTTAATTAGTTTTTTTTTTTTTGTTTTGTTTTTTTACGAATTGGTCAAACTCAAACAAAAACATTGTTTTCAATTATTATGAGTCTCTACTGATTGAATAGAATTTATTATAAACAATTGTCTTGTAAATGGAATTTTAAAAGCATTCTGAACAAAAAATAAAGAAAAAATATGTGCAAGACAATAAGAAACACCACCTGCCAAAAAAAAAGTGCAGTTTTGTTGAAATCGGTTGAAAATGGAATCGATCCCATATATAAATGAACACACACACACACAAACATCCTGGGTTTAAGTATAATTCGATATGAGTTGTCCCCCTTTCATTCTCGACAGCGATGCCTCTTAATCGTGTTTTCAAATTGATTTCGTGCAAAACCAATTGTGTTTTTCCAATTTTTGGTGCTGTCAGAACCACCGCAAGGTAATTTTATGTAGTCCTGTGAAGTTTTGTTGAAATCGGCTGAAAAATGTAGGAAATCTGATCCAATATATAAACGTACAGACACACACACACATACCCTGGGTTTTATAATTAGTATGATTATCGTTGCTTTGGTGTTTGAAACCTAAATTGAAATTTTATACTATATAATATATTTATATATATATGGTTTTGTATATTCTCAAAATTCTTGTCTAATATGAAATATTAGAATGGGTTTAGTTTGGATGATTTTGTAGCAGTAAAATACAAATTGCACATAGAGATAACAAATTAAAGCCAAATTTACATCGTCCTGGGTAAGACGTTAAACTACATCCAGCAGCAAGGCCTCTGATCAGGAGGTTTTGAAGAGCGTGGAACCACCTCTTAATTGCTGGTGTTCCCAGGTCCACCTTGACCCAGAGTGGTAGCACCTGTTAGGGTCCCAGCTATGGGCAAATAGTTAACTATTACCATCAATACTTTTTTGAAAAAAAATTATTACCAGCGATGCAATTTTGAAGGAAAAATATTACCAGAAACAGATTTTTGACAAAACAAAATATTACCAGCAATAAAAAATGTTGTCAGCATTAAATAACCCATTGAGGTTGATATGCCATAAAACAAAATAAACCAAACCAATCTAAACCAAAGAATACATACTCTATATATTCGAATCTATCCTAAAAATGTTGTCGGCATTAAATAACCCATTGAGGTTGATATGCCATAAAAAAAAAATAAACCCAACCAGACACACCCAAATCACCACCCATGGTTCCTGGAGTTTCACTACATCAAAATTCAAAAATCTATCAATATCAATGAAGATATGTAAATACTTAGTCAATATAAATCTACTTATAGTGATGCTGCTTTTTATTTCCAATTTTAAATGCAAAAATTGTTCAAATGAGCTCCATTCTTTAGTACCACCAATTCCATTGGTAAGCATGATGTTCCACTCAGACAACTTCTTCCCAAGTACTGCTACTATGTGGAACAGACTCCCAATGGGATGCTTCCCTAAACATTACAATCTTAGCCTCTTCAAGTCTAGGGTCAGTTGTTAGCTATTGTCCATATCTTCATAATTTTCACTTCCTCCATTTACTTTCATATCATACACATCATTCAGTTACTCTCTACTTTGAGTGGCTCTTGGGCCTTGTATTAGGTGAACATCAGCAAAAGAAAAAATAATTATTAAAATGCAATGTTTGATCCTTTCTTATAAATTTTGGCCTTGCTTCAGCTTTTGACATAGTTTTTTTTTTTATTCCTTATATATTTGCTTAAAATTAATTAGACTTATTTATTGAGAAAAATGATAAATAATCTGCGGGGTGGGGCACAAAATTTAATGATGGCTTTAAAAATGGGCATTTAAAAAGTATATTTCAATATATATAAAAAACTTACTTATTTATTATAAAACACAGATTGTGTGTGTGTGTGTGTGTCTGTTCGTTTATATATTGGATTGGATTTCCTACATTTTTCAAACGGATTTCAACAAAACTTCACAGGACTACAGAAATTACTTTTGTGTGGTTCTAACAGCACCAAAATTGGAAAAAACAATTGTTTTTTGCATAAAATCAATTTGAAAACATGACATTAAGAGGCATTGTGAGAATGAAAGGGGGACAACTCATATCGAGTTATACTTATTATAAAACCCAGGTTGTTTGTTTGTGTGTGTTCATTTATATATGGGATCAGATTTCCTACATTTTTCAACCGATTTCAACAAAACTTCACTTTTTTTTTTTGGCAGGTAGTGTTTCTTGCACACTTTTTTCTTTATTTTTACATTTAGAATGCTTTAAAAATTTCATTTACAAGACAATTGTTTGTAATAAAATTCTATTCAATCGGTAGACTCATAACGATTGAAAACAATGTTTTTGTTTGGGTTTGACCAATTCGTAAAAAAAAAAAAAAAAAATCTAATTAAGACATGCGTGTCCGTCAACCTTAAACAACAATCTTTGTCAATTTTATTTTTCAGTTTTTATGATGGTCGATACTTGATCTATCTCTTACTGTTACATCCCCAGGCAACGCCAGGCTCTACTGCTAGTTGTATATATAATCTAAAATAATGCATGTATAATATCCTAAAAGATTTCTACATATTTTTAGCGTAATGTATAGATGACATTCTAAAAGTATTCTATATATAACATACTAAAATAATTGACCATATTCTAAAATAACGCATGCCTAATATTGTAAAATAATTGCTCATATAATATTCTAAAGTAATGCATATAATTTAGAAATATACTCTATTCTGTAAGACTGAAATTAATTCTTTCTCAAATATTTTTTTCAACTGTTTTCTTTAGGAAGGTGAATTGAATGAAGAAGATAAAGATCATGACAGTGATGATGACCATTGGGCAAATGTTCTCAGTCAGAACTGTTGAATTGTGAGTTCTTTTATGTACCATCTACTTTTTAAAATATAAGCAATCATGGCTCTCCACAGTTTTTTGTCCTTTAGTGCTTGGTTGTTACAACTATTTCAACAATGAAATTATGAGACCTATCTGCCAATTTAGCACTGCACTTAAATTTGTGAAGTTGATGTACTAATGAGGAAAGCTCATCAGAAAAATTGCCATGAAAATATTTATAGAAAAGGCAGATGGAAGCTACATCATTGTGGTGGGGAAGTAACTTAAACCTGGATGTTAGGTCAGGGCTCATAACATTGCTGATTCTTCAGATATTTCTTGGTCAGCAAGTTTAGTGCAGTGAATAGTGAAATTGCTAAAAAAATTAGATATCTATCCTGGATATTAGTTTAAAAGAAAATTAGTAAAATTAAAGATTAATTAATAGAAGTTTGTAAAAATATTACTTACTGTATACTTAAAATATATCTAAAACACCTTTGAATGCAGCAATGTATATTCCAATTGTCAGCAAGTTCATAGATCAAACAGTAAAACTTAACTTCCACAACCCCCAATTTTACAACAAAAAAAAAATCCATCAAGTTTAATTAAATATGAAAACCTAAAGTTGCCAAAATGTAGAAATATGTTTAAAAATAAAATCTTTTAATTTACTATAACCAATAAGGTAAAAATGTATTTTTTATTATATAAAAAAAAATATATCTTTATGAAACATTTATTTTTTATGTTAATAGGAATATGAAAATATTATTTAAAAATAATAATAGAAGAAGTAATATGTTTTTATCTATTTGGCAATTGTTCTGTATTTATTTTTTACTTTTTGTTATGTCATGAGATATTTAACTGCACCAAATCATGTGTTTTTAATTTAATTAGATTTAATAAACAAAATTAAGTGTTGCTTTAAAAAAAAGAAAAAAAATTCAGGGAAAATTGATAAAGACTTATTGAATTGATACTGTTGATTGATTGCCTTTACTTTGCCTTCTTTCAGATACCAATGACAAAAAATTCTAGATCCCTACAAACGTCAGATACAATTATTTTTAACTTTATACAACCAGGAAGGTAATTCAAAATTGTTGAATTATTTCCTAATTGATCTTCCATGCAAAAATATAATCAAACAGTTGGGAAAATAATAAATAAAATAAAATTCCTTTAAAAGTATTTCTGATGTGAAAATGGCATCAAACTTTACATTTTTCAATTCTTCAAATACATTTTTTTTAATAAACCATATTTTTTTTGCCATCAACAACCAAATGAATTTCAAAAATCACACTGAATAATTACAATTAACTTTTTTCAAAAATAAATATACCTTGCAGATTTTCCCCTGTCAAATCTAAAAGAAAATGTTTTTTGTTAAATTATCAGCAAAAAATGTTTTTTGAGTTTTATTGAATTTATTTTTGTAAAGTTTCAGGAGAAATTTTCAAAATTTTCTGATCTGATATTCCAAAAAGCTTTTAATGAAATATCTTCTGAAATTTTTCTTAATAAGACTATTAAAAAATATTTGTCATCACCCTACCCACTCCCCACAAATCTTAAAGTATTCACAATGTATCGGAATGGAGGTGGGTAACTAACCCCACCCAAATATTTCTCCGAAGATTTCTAATAAATTAATCTGTTTCGTATACAATTTCATTCATTAATGAATAAGTTCTGAAACTTTTACTTAAATCGGGTAATTCCCAAATTTTTGACATTTTTTTTTAAAAACAGTGGTTAATTTTTTTTTTTTTTTTTTCATTTTCGAAAAAAAGAACAAATGTTACCTCCCTTGTATAAGTCATTTTATTTGAATACAGTGAGTTACTTCCCTTGAATCTGAATCTTCTCAACCTTTACAATTCTGTACTCATCTTCGGCAATGTATCCCTTGGATTCATTTTAATTTTGAGTGTGGTAAGTTTTTGAATAGTGGATATATTATTAGCACTGTAACTTTTAAGGTTTTAGAGATATGGTTACAAAATTTTCCGGGTATTTGCATGAAAGGATGTAGAAAATGTAGACATTTTTTTTTACTGTACATATAATGAAATTTAAGAAAAAAAATTAAAATCAGGAAAATTAAAAAAAAAATATGACAATTAATAAAAAACGATTCCTACTCATCACATTGTGAAAGTCTTGCATATATAAAAAGTGGGTCTGTTGTCCAGTAAGACGTATACGAAGGTCACTTTTTCAAACCTATCAACAAAAGCAAGACCAAAAATGCTTTCATTTCTTCAAAGCAAACGTTTTTCCAAAATCTGATTTGAGAATTGGGCTTTGCTGTGTCACCTAATTTTGTTTTCACATGATTTGCATAATGATTAGTTTCAACTACTATTAATTGAATAACTATGTCATATAAAAAAAAAAACGAAAAACATCTACCTCACTAGCTTCTTGATTAACATTTGTAGGTACAGGAGTATAGGAAAATTGGTAGCCATAGGTGATCATATGCTTGTGATGGTTTGAAAATTCCTCCTTCTTGGTCAGAATCACTTTCAGTCTCATTGTCACACACATCACCAATATCTACATGGGTAAATCCAAGAAATTCTTCTTCATCACTCTCACTATGCATGAAAAGTTCCTGTATCAATGTAACACATCCATGCCTTGCCCTGAACGTTTTTAAAACACTTTATTAAAATTCGCTGATAAAACAACTATTTCAATTAGGACAAAATGACTGACATCCAGTCATTCTCAGTTCATATCACAAGGTTAATGTTGTCATTTTGGTAGTAATAGGTTATTTTTAGAAACATACTTTCCCTTTACAACAAAGCACTGTCACTCAATGAACATGTCTGCCTGGAGAATATTGAGAAAGAGTATCACCAGCAGACAGTTGTAAAGGTTAGTTTTGTTACTTTGTCGCCAAGTAGTTAGAACATTAACTGTGAGACTAAAGTTCGAATGTCACCCTAGTCAATTTCTTAAGATGATGACCTTTTCAAAATATCTGCCTTGAGAGACTAATCTCGACCATACTAAATGGTTGTGTCACGAGTCAACTTCACTGATCATTCGAGCATGCTGTCTTTTTTTTTTTTTTTTTCAACTATTGATCCCTCTCCAGTTGTAGTATAAACCACCGATTGGCTCTGTGGATAGTAAAGAAACACAAATGTGCTGGAAATGGTGTCTACAACTATGATTAACTCTTGTACTTGGTCAAAAGAGAATCCAACGATTTTATATATATATATATATATATATATATATATATATATATATATATATATATGTGTGTGTGAAAAGTGTATATAAATATAAATAAATATATATATGTATAATTATTTATATATTATATTATATGCACGGTACTTATTAGAAAGCGCTCAATATCAGAGATAGAGCTAACATATTTGGTCCAAATATATTATATATATATATATATATATATAATTATTTCACTCCAAGCAAGGTGAGAATGCCACTAATATGCAGGGGGTTACGGAGAGCAAAAGGGAGAGAAAAGACTGGGTGTGTTAGGGTGTTGAAAGGATAAAAGATAAACAGTGTTCAAGACAACAGAAGATGGAGACTGATGTTGCATTTAAATTTTTGAATATTGTAGTTTTTGGGGAAGCAAGTAAGCAGAAGGATGTTTTAATGTCAGGAAGTGTGAGAAAAGAAACTGTTAGAGTAGAAGTGGTGATTACATTTAACTATTTGAACAGTAAATGGATGGGACCTAGATGCCAATCTAGTATCACACTTAAATTCATGTAGTTGAGGCACAAGGGAAAAAAGCTTGTCAAAGCAGTTGCCCTGAAAATATTTATGGAAAAGAAAGATCGAAGCTACATCACATGTGTGAGAAAGTGATTGAAGTTGAGATGCCAAGTCAGGATCAATTACATTGCAGATCCTTCGTTAGGTTTGTCAAGAACCTCAAGATAAATAGCAGGAGCAGTAGACCAGATATGGCAACAGTATTCAATGCACAGATGAATGGTAGATTTGTAGATGCATAAGATGGATTCTGATGAGAAAAACTTAGCACGACACAGAGAACCAAATTTCTTTGCCGTAGATGCAGCCATTGATTCTATGTAGTAAGAAACAACAATGTAGTTGATCATCAGTCATGCTGATGGTGGGCAGGGAAGTTTCTTTATGATAGTTAAATGACAGCAGTTTATGTTTGTGTGTAAAAATTCAGATATAACTAGAAATATATTTGTAAAAGGAAAATTTATCTTAGTTTATGCGTTTTGTCCTCTGATGGAATTTATCAAAATGTAAGGATTTTATTTTGCAACAAGTACAATGAAAATTGAAATACAAAGTATGTGTTTTGCAACAAGTATAAATAAAAGTTGAATACAAATGAAGTAAAAATGTTGTTGTTAGCTTTTCAGAATTTTAAAATTTAAGAATGCACATAACTATTAATCTGTAAACTATGGAGTAAGCTAAGTGATGCAATTTAATTTCTAATTAATTAAAATGAGTAAATGTTATCGTTGAATTTTATTTAATAATGTAATTATTTATATTATTTCAATTTTAGAAATTAATTCATGTATCATATATTTTCAATAAGAGAAGGTTTTGAATTCAACCGTTTTCTTTTAATTTTTACAAATTTTTATAGACATATGTTAGCTTTGGAAAAGAGTATTTCTCTTCGGAAAGGAGATATTTGAAAAGATTTGGGGTGCAGATTTATATTTTGGTATGATTCAATAGAACTTTCAAGAATTTTTCGTCTTACTTTCTTTTTTAATAAGCATGGCATTTTGAGGTCCAAGTTTTGGTTGAACTTATTTCTAGGTATGACTAATGCATTTGATACATTGTTGTGTATAAGACCCTTTTTGTCTTCATAGATGTGTATTCTTAATTTATACAAGTTTCCCCAATGTATTGTAAAAAGTAGTTTTGACAGTTTATATTTTATCACCATATAAATTATTCATCAGATGTTGCAACATTGTGAATTATCTCCCTTGAATCATCACTATGAGTTGCTTCCCTTGCACCAGTATCATCTCAATTTTACATTGCTGATTTTGTGGGTGCAACTTTGGCTTCTGCAGACTGCTTTAAGGCACAATATGCCACAATGTGGAGCAACAGTTAACATTACTATGAAATAGCGAGCTTTTCCTCCCTGGATACCACATACTTGTGGTCTTGTGCCAGATTAACCTGAGGCTAGTAAATACCAGCTCATTTAAGAACCATGTCTTTTGTTAATATCATCCAAGAATCAATTTTGTAAAAAGATGTATATATACTGTTTCTTTTTATTATTTTTTTTGTTTTTGTTTTTTTTTTTTTTTTTAGGTATGTAATAATTCGTCGAAAAAACAGCATAGCATGATGAAAAAAAGGCCCCAAACTTAATAAAAACAAATTTTTATCATGAAAAAGTTTGTTATTAATAAGAGGAAAAACCAAAGTATTTTTTGATTATTTTTTTTTTTTTTTTTTTAATTTTCATTCTTTTCTAGCACATTTGAAGTTCTGGTTGATCTTTTTGAAGAATATAAATCATCAATTTTTTCTTGTAAATTGATTAATTGTTCTACCCAAAATTCAGCTCTGAATTGTAAAATACAAAACCCAATAAAACTAAGATATTATTTAATTAAAAAAAACTTTTAATGATGTTTCTGAATAATACATATTATGGACATTTTTATGAAAAATTAATTTTTACAAGAATTGATTTCTTTTTTTTAATTTTAAATACAAAATCTGATAAAGTTGTTAAATATTTTAAAATTTAATTTGAAGTAGTGTATCTCAGAAAACGCTGTTATTAAAAGATCTATTTTTTACAAATCTTAAATTTGAAAGCTTATTACAATCTGCGAAACTGTATTTTTACAATAATTTTTTAATATACGAAAAAAATGTATTAAAAACTCTCCTGGCAAAACTACAGAAGCACAATTCTGAAACAATGTCACGTGTGCTTGTATTGTTTCTCCTCATAGCTTATCAAATTCTCTGACAGACCAATCATCATCATCATCTTCGCATTTTCAAAATTTTTAATTTTCTTTTTTTTTCTTTACATATTTCACTAAATTTTTTTTTTCATTTTTTAAATATAATTTTTTTTTTCCTTTTTCAGTGTAAGATATACTGCATTTATTAATTTTTCTTTTTTAGATTCAATTTTAGCGTTAAAAACCATGCAGGCTTTGGATATATCTTTATAAAAGTTACCTAAAAGAAATCAATAAATACTAGACTTTTGAAAGTATTTAATTTTTAAAAATTACTTTAGTTAAATAAACTGGTTCACTTAAAATTTAAAAATACTGTCTCTTCTGCCCTTCTGTGCAATATATTGCTGTAACATTAGTAGTCAATACATTGACGTAAATGTCAATTCACACCTACAAAACAAATCACCATGGTGAGACATTCTTTTATTTCCAACTAAATTTTTTCTACAAAAAAATTAAGTAATATTTGTTTCAAATTAAATTTTAAATTTTCTAATTTTCCTAAAATAACTCATGAAAAAATGTAATTGAATTTTACAAGATTAACTTTTATTTATAAAACTCAGTAATAGCTGATGATTGATTTTACATCAATTTTGATGACTAAGAGAAAACAATATATTTAGCTAAAAGTTCGGACATGCTAGAAAGGGTTAAATATATTTAAGGTGCTAAACTTAATAAAAGCAAAGTTTTATCGTCAAAATGTGTATGCTATTATTAAGAGGAAAGACCAAAGTATTTTTTTATTAATTTTTTAATCCTTTTTAGCACATGCAAAATTTTGGTTAAAAATCTTGTTTTTTTTTTTTTGGCGGGGGGTTGTGCCAGCCGTCAATATAATATTTATGATTATTGTTTTAGGACCTTTTTGTCTGATGAAAAACACTTTAATTTAGAAAGAGTTGCAAAAATCAAATAATTGTTAGGTTTTAACAAAACTTTTAGGACTTATTCACAAACAAATGAAAATGATTTTGAAATTTTTTTTTAGAAAATCTTGGTAAATTTATTTATTTATTTTTTTTTTTTTTTACATATGTTACTACCCACTTAATTTCATGAAATTTGAGAAATTAAATTTTAAGTGTAAAATTTGTTATATTAGTTAAAAGCAAGACTCCTTGGAAAATGTAACTCTTCAATTTTTTTCTCCAAATAACTGCTCCAAATCATAAAATAAAAAATGATAAAACTATGACATTATTTAATTAGAGAAGCTTTTCATTGCTTTTATAAATAAAGCCACTATTGTCTTAAGAAAATTTTTTTCGATGAATAATGAATTTTAACAATTGTTTTCATTTTTTTTAATTTTGATTATAATAATTTATTATAATAATTTATATATAAATCTTTTAAAATTCTGCATTACTTTAGTTATGTTAGGTGATATTGTTATTAAGTGGAAACTATATTTGCTAAACAAAAATTGAAAAGTTGAATACAAATCATTGTACACCAAGATTTTTAAAATAATTTTTTTTTTTTATGTGTATAAACGTGCCCATTTTGAAAGTATGGGCAACCATACACAACATTATCAGAAAATAAGAGCAATAACTACAAAAAAAAAATTTAAAGTCAACATTTTTAAAAATACAGAGAATATTTTCCAACATTCTTAAGATTACTGAGTACTTAAAAATTTTATAAAAAGATGCTCACCTGTCATTTTCTTAGATTATGTTTTAACAAATAAAGTCTCCATAGAACAATAAAACTGTCAACACCTTTTCGTCATTTGTCTTTGCTCATCATTCTGTAAACATGGCTACTGTTGGTTAAAAGTACACCCATTGTTTTAAAAATCCATTTCCATGTTATTTTAAACTTAAAGTAAATAATATTTGTTTCAAATCAGATTGATCATTTGATTAATATTCATTGAATAAAGTTTCAGAAAAGTATATTTTATTTTTGGAAGATTTTTTAATAAAGAGAATTACACTGCGATGAAAGACAACTAAAAAAGGGGTGCTAATCAGCTGTTTTAGAAAAAAAAAACTCCTTGCAGTCAATTTAAATTATTTTTTAAAATACAGAAAAGTAATTTTTTTATTGGAAATATTAAATTGAATCTATTAGCTTGAAATTAAAACTAAAATAAAAATCTCAAGAAAGATATTTTTATATTTAAAAATTGATTTTAAACCTTAGGTATGTTTTTTTTTTTTTTTTGTGTTTTTTTTTTTTTTTGCTATTTAGCAAATTTGTCTAAGGTTATATTTAATGTTTAGGAATCTCATAAGCCTTAATTTCACTGCAGCGGGCATCACTTCCTTCCTTTTTGGGTGCCAAAAAGCTCCCCAGACAACACCTCCCCATTGCGCTTAAAGGAATAGAATAAGGATTAATCCCTGATGCCCAAAGATATGTTGAAAAGCAAAGAAAACAAGGTGATTTATAGAACTACAACTTTGACACTGTCTTTTTACCTTCCATAAGGAGTGGGGGTGATCTGGCAAATCTCATTTTTACAAGCCATTATTTTGATTGTTTCTTGAGGCAATGGAAAATAAATTAAGAGTGTTTCTGTAAAAATCACTTTTTAAAAATTCTCTCAGATAAAGTGCTAACACCAGAATCAGAAGGAGGATTAAAAGCAAAAAATGAGCAAAATTTGTTTTACATGCAAGGAACTGATCTCCCAAACCATTAACAAGTTTGATTCTTATGGATGCTCAATAGCTATGGTTTTATTCTTAAACTTTCTAACAAGCATCTTGAAAGAAAGGCTTCATTCATCACCAGTATGGTGTCTGGCTAAAAAATAAATTAATTAAAAAATAGTTATTCCTGCCATTAATATCTGTAAAGATTTCACAAGCTCAAAATTGAACAATTAGTAAATGATTTTATTTACAAGCACTTCAACAACACAAAGTCTGTCTTCTCTCACATCATCTTCACCAAAACGGTTCAGCAAAGTAACCGAAACTCATTGAAAGACTGTGAATTAGCCTGCAATTTTTTACTGCTCTGTGGACGATAGAATTCCTCAAGTTTTTCTTTTCTGAATTTTTCAGACAGACCAAGCTGGTTTTGCCGTTCAGCATCTGCTCGTGAAATATCCAGTTTGAGGAGGGCTTCAGGGGTAGGGATCTGAACCTCGGTCCGTTCTATCTTAGTTAGTAGCTCACTCCTTTGAGGACTGCTGATGGTCAGCAAAAACAAAAGGATCCGTCCATCTGTGCATCCCACTGCCAGTGTGGGACTGTTCCCAGCTACAACCGCATGAATCCCACGTCCATGGATAGGGACATGGATTGTTTCTTGCTTCCTGTTTGTTAAACTGACCAACTGCACATATTTTTGGTCATCTGACAAGCCCACTGACCAACAGCCATTGGTCACAAGATGTTGTTTTAACTTTATGTCCGAGTTGGTCAATGATGTTGGAAGAACTATATTTTGAACGTTTTTTAAAATGTCTTGTGAAAAAAAGTGATCAGAAATTTGAAAGTGGTCAATGAACGATGGATCTTGTATTAAGGTGAGTGTTTCTTTTGTGACCGCATCGAAAATAGCTGCCACTTTTTTACAAGTGCTAGCCAGTTCCAGAAATTTTTCCAAATCTAAAACGTAATCAGGGACATTTTTGGCAAATATCAATAAAATCTTTTCATCTTGAGTTGTTTTAATGTCGTAAAATTTATCCATTGGATTTGCTTCGGGATAAATTTGATGGAGGCTTATATCCTCAAAATATTTGACGTCGGTTTTTGAAAGATTCTCCTCACCTGCACCAAATGCCATTAGAAAGAAACTGGTTAAAAAAAATGGCACTGAGTTTGAGTAAGCTTCTTTCTGGATAATTGCCGCCACTGAGGTGACGTCTGAACTTTCTGATGTAATGACACAGGGTTTTCTTAGAAACTCCACACTTTGTGGTAACTGGATGTAGTTTTCCTGTTTGCCTGCTGGGTCACTAACCATTAAGCTATAAAGGGCTGTTGTTTTATTCTTCACATGGCAATAAATAACAAAGAGTAAGTCAGAGACTTTCGGAAACATCACAAACCTAAAAAATAAAATAAAATAAATCTGTATAAACAGAATTTACAAATCGCAAAAAAAAGTTTTAAGCAGATACTTTTTTTTTATTTGGGTGGCAGGGATTACAAAAAAATCCTTTCATTTTTCCAGTCTTAATCCTCTAAGACAGAAAATACATAAAATGTGCCTACAAGTTTCACGTGCTTAAAGTCCATGAGTGCCTGAATATGCCTGCAACTGGTTAGTGCTTTATTTCAAAACAGTGTTAAAACACCTGCTCAGCTAGAGAACCCCAAATCTAGAACTTTTTGGAAATTTACAACTTTGTAAAAGTTGTAGGTTTCCAAAACCATATATCATAACCAGTAGGCACCATTTCTCATCTGATCACTGAAGTTAAGCAATGTTGAGCTTGGTGAGTATCTTGATGGGTGACTGCTTGGAAATACCAGGATATGCAGGTCATGTATAACGGCTCAGAATTGGAAATCAGGGAGCAGAGTTCTAATTCAATTCAGGTTTGTTATATTCACTTACATGCAAATATCTGTGGGAAAAGTCATGAACCCCCTCATCTCCTGCCAGCTATGGGTTAAATGGTAGGACTTGTATCAGAAAATCGTTATTATCTCCAAAAACTTCTTACAATCCAAAAATATGTTTCTGCTTTAAATAAACTTAAGAGGTTGATAACCTGTAAAAAACAAAAAATCAAATCTTAACCAATATAACCAAGGGGGTTAAAGATGATAATTTTTATCAGGCCTCCTGTCATTATTCCTTGAATCAGTTTAACTATGATACTTGGTGGTATGTAACTCCTCCCTCAACCATTCTCTTTGTTTAATATTACAGTATTAAAGAGATTGGCTACCATAAGGGGCACTGAAAAGTTCTCAGCCTAATAATATTTTGATTTGGTCAAATTTTGGGAAGTGTGAACCAATAACTTTTCTGTGTCCTTTCATAGAAGTTCTTTTAGTTGATAGTGTCTAGGTAAATATTGACCTTGGCTACATATATAAGAGCCAGGAGATATTTTTGTGATCATTTGTAGTGTATATATCAGATCATTGCAAAAGTTTGTGTCTGATTTTAATTGTCAATATAAAAAGACAGCAACTTGATAGATTTGTTTTGGTGCCGATTTCTAATGTGTTCTAGTTTGACACCTTGCATCGTTCAGATGCGAGTTAGATTTTGTTGAATGTTGACATTTTCTCCACAAATCAATGCCTTAAAGATGGAGGATGATCTATGAATCTTGGAAAGGAGTAAATGTTGGAACAAAAAACATTCAGAAGATTTATTTGGATCATGCTCTACCTCTTTGGACGGTCAAAAAGTGGTTTGACAGTTTTCGTCAGGGTCATTTTAGCCTAGATAATCAACCATCTTCCGGCTGTCCTGACATCGACAAGACACTCTGCTTGCCATCATGAAGAATAAACTAAAGATTACGATGGAAGAGATTGCTAAGAGTTTGAAAATCGATGTCACAACTGCCTTTTGCCATTTGAAGAGACTTGGGTTCATCTTTAAACTCAACATGTGGGTGCCACATTTTCTGACCGAACAGAACAAGCTTGATCTTGTTTCTGCTGCAGTTTCTTTGTTGTTATGCTATGAAAAGGAGCCGCTGTTCGACAGAACTGTCACATGCATGTGGTTCGTTTCTGATAACATTCAATGCAAACGTTGCTGGATATAAGATTGTAAATGTGTAGAACCCGTGGCTAAAGCGGACTTGCATACAATGTCACTTGGAGTGATTTCAGAAGGATAATTCATTTTGAGTTTCTTCCAGCCAACAAAACAATAACCGCAAAGAAGCATTGCGACCAACTCACCAATCTCAATGCAGCTATTTATGAAAAACGACCGATTTTAACAAATCAAAAAGGTGTCATTTTCTGCCTCGACAAGACCACATGTTGCAAAACAGAACTTGCAGAAGTTTAATTGAGTTGAAATGGGACCCCCACCCCCAAAGCACTCACTGTATTCTTCTAACTCGGCTCCTTCGAATTTTCATTTGTTCATGTCTTTAGAAAACAATTTAAATGGTAAAAAATTGACTCTCTACAGTCAGTCAAAAACTACCTTCTTCCAATAACACAGGAACTTTTAAGAAAAATCTCATCAACAAGCTTGATAGGAGACAATTGTTAAAAACAATGGAGAATATGTACTTGACTAATAATTGTTCTTTGTGACTATGTAAAATTTTGTTTTTAATTTCGTAATCAGGCACAAACTTTTGCATTCATCCTTTATTTATATATATATATATATATATATATATATATAGAAAGATCACATTTCAAAAATTTAAGGAAAACAAATGCTAAGAAACAAACACATTCGATACATTAATAGATCGGAAAAGGTTCAAAGTTATTAAAATAAATATTTTTTCAATCTTGCTTAAATGCTTTTTGTTAATAATGTGTTGATTGTGTTTGTGTCATTTGTTTTCATTAAATTTTCGAAATCTTTCTTTTTGAATAAACCTATATATCAGGTCATCCCATAAGTTCTGTCCGAATTTTAACTTTTTTTTAAAATGAACGAAATTTAAAGAGTATTTTATAATATCTAATGGAGCTGAACATTATTTTTATGTTTAGATGCATTTAAACTGATCAAATTTTATTTCAGAGAACAATAAAATTAAATTTTGTTTGATTAAAACCTTTTAACATGGAAGTACCCAAGAATCATTTGAGGCACATAATGCTTTATGAGTTCAAGAAAGGAAACTCAGCAGCCGAAGCGGCTAGAAACATTCACTCAGTTTATGGAGAGGAATTTGTGAATGAAAGAACTTGCAGAAGATGGTTTTCAAATTTCAGAGGTGGAGATTTCATCCTTGAAGATGAAGATCGAACCGGACGTCCAATTGAGTTTGATGAAAAGCTTCTTGAAGCAGCCCCTGAAGAAAATCCTGCTTTATCAGTTGAGGAATTGGCAGTGGTTCTCAGTTCAAACCATACAACTGTTCACCGTCATCTTGGAAAAGTTTCTAAACTTGGAAAATGGGTGCCTCATGAATTGTCTGAAAACAACCTCAAATCCCGAGTTGACATCTGCTCTTCTCTCCATTCTCGTCAACTTGTTTCACCTTTTTTGAATAGACTTGTGACTGGCGACGAAAAATGGAACTTTTATCAAAATGTTAAGCGTCGTAGACAGTGGCTTGGTAAAGGGGAAGGACCCCAGCAACAGCCGAGAAGGGAACTTCATGGGCAAAAGGTTCTTCTTTCAATCTGGTGGGATCGCCAAGGAATAATCTACTTTGAATTCTTACCACCTAATGCAACAATTAATGCTCAAATATACTGTCAGCAATTAGAGTGTTTGAACCAAGCTTTGAGGAAAAAAAGACTTGCTCTAGTGAATCGAAAAGGGGTGATGTTTTATCAGGACAATGCGCAACACCACACAGCAAGAATCACGTCACACAAGAACTTAGTTGGGAGAAAATTTCTCATCCACCTTATTCTCCCGATCTTGCTCCTTCAGACTACCATTTGTTTCGTAGCTTACAGAATCATTTGGAAGAAACAGCTTTTGTAACACAGGAAGAGGTTAAAACTGACATTTGTGAGTTCTTCGAATCAAAGCCAAAAGAATTTTACAGTAATGGAATTAGTAAGCTTAGTAATAGATGGAAGGAAGTCATAGATAATCAAGGAAAATACATTGTTGATTGAATCTGTAATTAGATGTAACATTTGGTCACTTGTTTTCTTTATTCAAAATTCGGACAAAACTTATGGGATGACCTGATATATATGTGTGTGTGTGTGTGTGTGTGTGTGTGTGTGTGTGTGCAAACTTTCAATTGAAACTGTGTAAACCTGTGCGGTTTTCGAATATATATACAGGGTGTGGCAGAAATGCCTCCCACATAATGGTAAGACATTAGTGGCAACAGTGTCTTCATCTATCTAATGACTTACCATTAAGTGGGGGAGGGTATTTGTGGGTGGGGGTATTTCTGCCACACCCTGTGCAATAATGCATATATTTACCTGCAGCTCTCAAAATGTTGAAGCTTTTTAGGATTTGACGTTTTGATGTCCCACAGAATACACTCTTTGAGAAAATGGCATGCGTCCCCGTCTTCGCCGTTTTCGAAAAGATTCCTATTGGAAAACGTTACCGCAAATTGTGCGTCCGGTGATATTTCGACATGAGTCACTTCATTTAGTGAACGGTGTCCGTGCAGCAGACAAAAAAGTACTGTGTCGGTTTGAACGCCCAAAACTTTGGCCTCTGGACTCCTGTGTGTGCAACAAATCACCCTCTCTCCGTTTGCAGACAGGGCCATGGCCCTCACTGCGTTCGAGAAAACGTTAGGTTTAAACTGGACATCCGATTGGATGAGTGCTAGATCCCATAGCTCGAGTTTGTGATTGGTCAGCGTGTAAAATTCGAAGCCGGTTTGAGGAACAAAGAGTCTTTTGAACGGAGAGTTGTCAGAGGTTTTTAGTACGCGGACAATGGAACTTGTTCTTGTTTCCCAAACGCCGACATAAGTCCATCGTAAACCAACCACGAAATCATCAGTAACCGAGAAGGCTGCATCAACAAAGTAGGAGAGTGTCGCTATGAGAATTTCGGTGGGGAATTCCAAGCAGTTGACAGTATTTGGCGACTGGACCTGACACAAGAACAATTTCTTGGAGGATCGAAATAAAATTTTATCTCCTTTTTCAGAAAGAGTCATCTGTTGCAAATCTACGTGGTAAAACACTTCTTGAATCGAAGAATCACGTCGCTTCCAATCAAAACGCGACACAGCAACAACGCCTGTCCTGGATAAGCTGAAACATTTCTTACTGTCCAGAGAAAGCATGAGCTGTTTGGGAAATTCCTCCATCTTCACTGTTCCTTTCCTTTCGAAGCAAGGAATCGAGAAAAGAATAATTCTGTTTCCGGTGTACAATGCAAAATGGCTTTCATCTCTTGAGAATGTCATTGCCTGCGTATAATATTCCATCCGGTGGATCACTGTACAGGTTTCTATATCGATCAGGATCGGGCCAACGCCTTTGACCGACGTAAAAGCAATGTAATGCTCGGAACAGGCTGAGCAACGACCCACGGATTGTTGCAAACCGGTTTCGATGACTCCGTGAATATCCCCGTTACTCGATTGAATAACTGCCAAGAAATCTTTGCTGAGGAAGACGTTCATATATTTTCCACCCCTGCTTAGAAGGACCTTTGTAGAAGGCATGTTGGGCTCTCCCCATACCAAATCCCCTTCCAAATCCCTCACCTCGATCCCTATCGCCGATTCGAATCCTGTCCTATACATAGCAAATACTCCGGTCTCTATCTGGAACATATCTATCATGGTTTCTATATTTGTTTGGTTTACTGATCGGTACTTGGATCTTCTCAGTGGACCACCCGGTGCTCTGTACAACTGTGACAGAGGAGCAATATAGTACTTTTTTAAGATGGCCTGATCACACTGATCGAGTAAACTGCGAATATTCGGAAAACGGCTCCTTACTGGCAGAAGACGTCCTAGAAGCTCAAAGCATAAACAATCTGTTTTCTTTTGCAACTCGCCTTTCGACAACCGTAGGGCTTCTGAAATTAAATGTGCCTGGGTATCGTTTTCATAGACTGAAAAATCTTTTAAAACCTCTTCTAAAGAGGTTGCTCGTAATTTACAAAGCAACCAATTGTAATCGTACAGCAAGCGGGTTTTGAATTCTTCATGATAAGAACACCTATCGAGGACATGGGAGGCCATATTGAACTTGCGTACGTTCCATTTTTGGGCTCCTGGGAAATAAAGCGGCTGAAGTCTGTTCCCAAGCTGATCATCAAAGGAGAAATCATAGAATCTGTACAAGGCCTTTTCTATTTCATGGCGTTGGTCGCACTCCGTTACGTACTTACGCTTTATAACGCTTAATAAATGACTTAAGGGTAGCGTGAGAACATTAATCCCATCAACAATACACTCAACTAAAAACCAGTTTATATCTTTATGAAAACGGCACCATCTATAAGCAATATCTTCGTCCTCTCTCCAATCCTTGTTTTGGTTGGAATCGGTAACTGAGCAAAGAATGTTTTTCAATAAAATTCGTAATTCCATTTCTGAGAGCCCCATCGGCGCTGCCATGGCCAAAAGACCGAGCGACTTACTAACGAAGCTTTTGCCGTGTTGTTCTTCAATATACTTCAAGTATTTGTCGAACGCCGTTTCCACATCTACAAGATCTCTCGGAGGAATTGGTCTGAATCGGGTTATGTTCTCCAGCACTATTTTCTGGATTCCTGCTTTGGCGCAGATGTTTGTCACTTGCAAAACCGCGTCCATTTGATGATAACTCGGTCCAACTGTTTTGATCCATCTTTCAAAAACTTTCCCACGTTCTTTTATAGATAACGGACCCAGTTCAAAATATGTAGTGACTTTGTCGCTAATGCGAGTGCAGAACCTGTCCACCGTTTCGTTTGAGGTGAAGACTATTTTCACATTTTCAGCCAAGGTCACGGGAAGCCATTCGTAAAGATTTTCGTTTTCTTTCGGATATAAATGCTCCATATTATCCAGTAAAACCACCAAGGAAAGTCCTGGAAGACCCTTCTGCATAAGGTTTTTGAAATAAGCCTTAAGTTTGGTAAGATCAGTTGGAATCTCACAGTTATTTCTTCCTGTTAAATAAATAATCTGACTGCAGATCGAAAAAAGAACTTCGCGTATATTACTACTTTGGGGTGTCAAACCCACAAAATGAACCACAACGTGAGTATCCTTCCAAATGTGTTGCTGCAGTCTCTTTTGGACACTTAATGCTAGCAATGCTATTAAGGTCGTCTTTCCAGAAGCCTTTTCACCAATCACGGCCAGCGGCCATGTAGTTGCTACGTACAAGTAATTGTCAATTATCGTTTGCATGTCATCACGATGCACGCTGTTTTGCGTCAGGTGTTTGGCGTAGTACCAGTGGTTCAAAATTTCATCACTTGCCTTACCATTGGTTTCCTGGTCGCTTTCCCAATCACCAAGACACGCACCTATATGCCGCTCTAGACTTCGTGATATGTAAGCATCTTTGCCACAAAGCCCACCATTTTGAGCACAGTGATATTTCGTCAGGCACATGCCACGTTCTGTCGGCATGTGAACGAACTTGCAGTTTAACCCTTGAAAATAGCGCTCTACTCTTTGCACGTCGGTAGGGCTTTTACTCTTGCGCTTAAGCACTTTACTCATATATTTCACCTTCTTCACAATTTCCTTCTCGATATGTTCGGCATTTCTGGTAAATACTATATTCTGCTTACTCAAAGGTCGGTCCTCGCACGTAAAAAGGCCTTCTCGAATTTCGATGCCAAACACTGAAGAGACAACAAGAAAAAAATTGATCAGCGACCATGCATTTTTAAATATAAATTATACATTTTAAATTTTATTAATATTTGCAAAACTAAAATTTCTCTCTCATGCCCACAGTAGTTACTAAGACTATCTCAGTTCTGACACGAGGCCACAAGTATGGGGCACTCAGCAGAGATCGAACTCACTCCTTAGAAGTAATTGATCGACAGGAGCACATTTTTAAACATTACACCCCGATGAGATGCTCGCAGAATGCTGGATACAGTTATTTACTAAGTAGAGCTTAGGTTTGGTACGAGGCCTCAAGTATGGAGCACCCAGCAAGGATCAAAGTCACTACTCAGACGTAATAATCCGTGAGACCAGCTTGTTATTTTCACAACGTTCTATTAAGTTGAGTCATAAGTAATTTCCGTTTTTGGGAAGCACTTGTAATGACGAATGTATAGGTCTAACTAACCTTCATTTAAATATATCTTAACAGACGATGAAAAATGGGTTATATACAAAAATATATAACACAAAAAAACAGTGGATTGGGAAGGATAAATCACTACAAGCGACCCCAAAAGCTGATATCATTTTATGAGTCTGTTGGGATCCTCAAGATATTATTCATTTCCTTCAGTCCAGTTTTATTTAGTTAGCGCACTTTGCGCCGCCACTCTGGTCACCACTCCTCTTCATCTCACACCTGTGACGATTCAAGGCAGAATAGTACAATGGCTTGTTGGTTTCTTGAGATGTTGAGGTTATCCTATCCCTCCTCCTAGTGGAGGATTTTGAAATTACTCTCTTCTAGACTTTGCCAAAAGAGGCAGAACCTACAAGGTGGTTTGAATTCAGTTTCCTTCTTCTAGACTGAGTGCTACCCAAACTATAGGACCCAGTCTATTTTACCCATAGCTGAGGGGAGAGGAGACGGATTCATACCTTTCCCAAGGGTATGAGCACCAGAATGCTCCCTCATGTAATAATATTAGTGTAAAAAAAAAAAAAAAAAAAAAATATAAAAATTTACGAATTCTGCATTACCTGTGTTGTAGAATGTCGACAGCAGTTTCTCTCTTTGTTGGTTATGCAGAAGAATCCATTGTAGACAGGAATTGCAGTCAAAACTGTCGTCTGAACAACTACTGCTGCTGCTGCTGCTGCTGTCATCGTCATCATCCCTGCAAGTTTTCTTGCTCTCGTATTCTTCACAATATGAATTGAATCTTTCTTCTAACGGCGACAGCAAATGGCAAGCAACATTCCGACCAGGTACTTCATTGCAAAATATCTTTTTATAAAAAATAAGATGTTATACTTCAAGATAAATTCCGTCAGGATTTCTGGGATGAGAAATTAACATTGTTTATATTATGTCCACAAACAAAGAACTGTACCAAATAGAACATAGAATTGGCTGCACAAGAGGTAGTTTCGCCCTATACCGCAAATTGCTACAAAACCAAAACATTAACCTGAAAAGTCGAGTTTTTTTAGTCTCATCAGATTTTATTGAAGTAGGAGACTGCCTTATATGTCTTTTATCTGAACGGTCCACGTAACATTACTGTGGTTCACAAAAAAAATACAAATTGGAAATCCACGGTAACATTTTAGTGGTCCATAGAGCAATTTCGCTTCGGAACGGGTGTTAAAACTGAGAATTGCAATGCAATAATCTACGCCATATTAAAATACTAAAAATAGAAAAACCAAATCTAAAACTAACAGAAAACGAGATCAAGTTTCCAAGAGGATAGAATCCAAGTAGAACTCAATGTCCAGGACAGGGTAATAATATAATAAAAAAGGCTCAAACATTAATATTCCATGGAATATTAGTGTTTGACCCTTTATTTTATATATATATATATATATATATATATATATATATATATATATATATATATCACTTGAGCAACTCGATGGGAATTTCTCAAAATGACTCGGTTGGCACTGTACGGCAACGCAGATTGGGAAATACCCTTTTATTCCCAGTTGGGAGGAAGAACTCGCTTAGTTTTGTAATATCGAGCCAAACGATGGGTTCTGTTTTCTACTAGAAATATATATATATATATATATATATATATATATATATATATATGTATATAAATAAAAAGAAAGAACAGTAAGATATAAAATCCGGTGTTCTTATAGATATTTTATTTTTACAAAATAGTGCTCAATGTAAATTTACAGAGCATTAATATTATAAATTAATTGATTTTTGAAACATGGTTGGAACTGTGTAGCGAAAATAACCATATTTTAAATCAATTAATTTATAATATATATATATATATATATATATATATATATATATATATATATAAATTCCCAATAGCATAGAATTCAGGTAGAACTCAATGTCCAGGACAGAGTAAGAATATAATATAAAAGGCTCAAACACTAATATTCTATGGTTATAATTTATTACATTGTAATCGTAATCATGATCCAATTCATCAGACCTCATCGTGATTACGATTCCAAGGTAATAAATCATAACCATGGAGTGTTAGTGGTTGAGCCTTTTTATATTATATTATATCATATATATATATATATATATATATATATATATATATATATATATATATATATATATATTAAAATGGACAAACCTCGACAACTATTTTAAGTCATTTGTAGTTTAAAGACAGTAAAATCAACCTTGTTAACCGAACGCTCCTCTGTCGCCCAATCGATTAAAGGCACGTCAGGCTATATGACGGTTCCATATAGGATATAGGTTCGATTCCTGTCGGAGGATGAATATTTTCTATGTAAATTTCTCGGACATTCAGAACGGTAAATGTTGTTTAATACTGTTTATTATAAACAGAGCATTTACTTAAATATATGTATCTATAAAAAAGTATATATATATATATATATATATATATATATATATATATATATATAAGAAAAATTATATAATGATTATAATTTATTATATAAATTAATTTAATATATTAATAATAAATAATAATTTTAAATATTAATATAAAATATTAAAAAAATAAAATATTAATTATAAATTTAATATATATTATATAGAGAATTTAGTTGTTAAATACATGTTTATTTTCATTAAATTAGTTTTCCTACAAAATAAAGAATATACATTTACTATTTTGATAGTACAACTTCTAAACTTATCTAGTCGTAAAAAATAAAATGGGCTTTTTTTTCATTACTCACCAAAATTAAGAATAAAAGTGGTCCATGGGTGAAAAAAATGGTTGTGAACTACAGTTCTAACTAGTCACAAAATTCGCTAATTAATTTGATACCAATTTGAAAACTTCATACTTATTGAAGTACGTAGAATTGGAGAATTCATTGTGCGTCAATGCGAGCAGAATATTGTCAATTGGTAAAACAAATTCGTAATTAAATAAGTAATTAAGTTTCATTAAAAACGACTGATAAGGAAATTAAGTTTTTTATTTAATTTTTCTTGCGTTCTTATGATTTTCTTCTTTTCTGGACATAAATTATACAGAAATAGTCCGAATATTTTGTATGTCCGAGCGCTTTCGGCTATACTTTTCGCCATTATCAAGGATGATTTTATCCTTAATTTTAATTGTGTGTGTCTATATATATATATATGCGTGTGTGTACTGTCGAAATAGTTAAATGTAATCGCCACTTTTACTCCCAAAGTTTATTTTCTCGTACTTCCCTCCTGTGGAATCCCACCTCGGTTTACTTGCTTCCCTGAAAACTACAATTCTCAAAGATTTAAATGCAATGTAAATCACCATCTTCTATCTTCTTGAATCCCATTCATCTTACATCCTTTCCTCACTCCTCCTATACCCAGTCTTTTCTCTCACTTTCACTCCTCTGTAACTCTCTGCGTACTCGTGGCATTCCCGCTTTGCTTGGGGTGAAATGATTAAAAAATATATATATACATATGTGTGTGTGTGTGTGTGTGTGTGTGTGTGTTTTTATTTATATATATATATATATATATATATATATATATATATATATACACATGTGTGTGTAATTATGTAGTGTTCTTTGTGTGTTTTTTTAAATAAGCCGTTAAATTGGTCATTTTTTAAAATATCGCCTGAAGAGACCGTTATTCTAATTGACTGCCTGATTTTTTAATAGTTAAAACCTCTAAATGTTATTTTTTTCTTTTATTTATATTTTTCCCACTTGTATTGAACACTTTTTAATACTACTGTTTCCTGGTATGATTCAATTCTGACCATTAACCATATATATATATATATATATATATATATATATATATATATATATATATATGAAATATAGATATCTATATTTGATATTTAATAATAATTTTTAAATAATCTAAGTAAATCTTTTACATTTATTTGTTTTAAAACAAGTATAATCTATTAGGGTCTGTCTATATTTCTGAGATGAGGTATTATGTACATTATTTACATTATTCGGACTATTGTCCTCATCTTTGTCGCCATATTTATCACAACGTTTCGGCCGTTGTTCGCTTCGGCCTTCAGGTGGTTGGAATTTCGAACTGAACCCTTTATTTCGCTCACTGGGGTAGACTGTTCTAGTTCCATGTGTCATGTTTGATGGATGTCAGTTATCTCCTGCTAATTTCCTTCTGAAAGTTCTCCACTGCCTTAACCGGGTATTGAACTCACATGTCACATATGGCACAGTGGATAAAGGCGTTGGTTCGATCCAGTGACATCACCCAGTGAGTGTGAGTTCAATACCCTGTTAAGACAGTGGAGAACTTTCAGCGGGAAATTAGCAGCAGATAACTGATAGCTAACATCCATCAAACATGGAACTAGGATAGTCTACCCCAGTTCAGTTCGAAATTCCAACCACCTGAAGGCCGGAGCGTACAACGGCCGAAACGTTGTGATAAATATGGTGACAAAGATGAGGACAATAGCCCGAATAATGTAAATAATGTATAGTCTATTAGTAATTAAAATTTAAGAATAATATTTTTAAATTGTAGTTCAATACGACTTATTCATATACAAACAACCCTTTTAGAAAAATCTTTATGCATACAAGTACAAATTCAACGGTGAAACAAAAGTGCCGAAAACCTTTTTGTTGTTGATGAAGACCAGACAACATGCGTTGAACGGATGTCATCATTCGTTGAAAACAGCACCCCTACCCTACATTGACTTAACCTCTTTTCGAAAGTAACTCATATTTTGATACAATAGTTGTCAGTGAAAGTGAATACCCTACTGCCCATTGTTAAAAAGAATGGATTTCCCCATATCCTTAGAAACTAATATTATAAATGTTTGTGCTTATAAAACTCAGTAAATTTCAAAATAAATTATTCCAAAATTCGCTTGAAAATGAAACCGGACTAGGGACTTTAATTTAATTCTATAATTGAATTTGAAGTTTTTAGTTTCTGTTTTTGAAACATGTTAATTCCTGTGTAGCGATGGAACCATATTTTTAAATTAGTAAATTTATAATATATATGAGAAAAAGAAGAAAAGTATTTAACATTGTAACTTTTCAGCGATTTTAAATTCTTGAAGAGTGTTACGTGTTTGACATTTTTTAGTCGAGCAAAAAACGTTAATTTTAAAATTGATTTAGCTTTCCCTATGCTGAGTATAAATATCATGACAATAGATCTAACTCTGATGAGTGACTTGCTCACCAAACTTCGAAGTCAGTTGTAGATAAGTATGTGAGCATTTTAAGAGAATTTTAACATTTGGAAAGTCCTCTGAGAATATGATATTGATAGTCTTCTAACAATCGATTCGAAGTACCATTAGGTTTGGTCAACTCACCAATAAGCCAGGACCTGTACAAGTCTGGTTACAACGTCTGATTTCTTCTCTACACAATTCTATATTTTCTGCCAATTCCCAATTCCTTGTTTGATTCAATTTTAGGTCAGTAATCTGCACAAATATATAAAAATAGAAAAGGGTGTATGACAAGGATGTGTAGAAAACATCGTTAAAAATAATGAAAAGAGTACTGAACGGTTACGTCATAGATTTCCTCCTATATAACAGTGTATATTGGACGATCTTCTTTCAGATTAAAAATAGGAATGTCGTTCTACAGAAGGATGCTGAGAATATCAGGGACTAACACATGAGCAACAAAAAATGGAAGCAAAAAGAAACATTTAATATCAGAAAGAGACAGTTGAAATTTCTCAGGTGCATGACGAGGAAACATGGCTTGGAAGATTTGATACTCCCGAGACATATTGAAAGCAAGAGGAACAGAGGGGGACAGCGTATAACCTATCTAATGAATTTGAGTAAATGGATAGCGGAACAAGATTTTAGGAGAGATGTCAAAAGACAGGAAATTGTGGATAGCCCATGATCGCCAACGTCCTGAAGTGACACGAGACATAGAAGAATAATTTGCACAAAGGAAAATATAGATTGAAGATTTGTAAAGCTTTAAAATCTCATTTGACTGCTCACATTCATTTTGAGGTGAGAAAGGATGTTAAACGAAAGTAGATATATTCTTATTACACCATCGTTATCAGAAATTAGGTTCTCGTCGTTTTATCAAACAGAGGATGGTGGCAGAAATTTCCAGTGACATTGCAAGTGTATACAGTTGCCACAGCTCTTTACTACAAAGTCTGTTCCCAAATATAAACTGAAAGGAACCTAGTGATGAGGAAATGAAGAAAGCTATTAAAAAAAATTTATTGGGCAGAATTGTCCAATAAAACATCACTTGACATCGAGGCTGAACTTTTGAAAATAGCTTACTTTCTCCCCGAATTCAATAACAAGTTTCTCTATTTTATGAGACTTACGCCCATATCAGGATAAAAACCAATTCTCATCCGATCCCCGAAGTTAAGCAACGTCGAACCTGGTCAGTACCTAGACGGGCTACCTCTCGGGAATGCCGGGTGCTGTAATTGTAGATGTGTGGGTGGTATAATGAATAAACCGGAGAGACGATAACGATTTCCAGTTGGGTTCGTTATATTCAAATACATGCAAATACATTTGGGAAAGGTAAAAATCCACCTCTTCTCCTCTCAGCTTAGGGTTAAATAGTATGAGCTGTATAATAAATTCATTCTTATCTCCCAAATATTTTTACAATTCAAAAATATCTTACGAGTTTACATAACCTTAAAAAAGTTGATAATCCGAAAAAAAACAAAAAAACAATTTAATCATAAAAATTCTATTTTATGAAAGGAATTTGGTATCAGAAATACATCCCCCAAAAGTGGGGTTTATTACGCATTAATTATTCTAGGGAGGCATAACGGTAACCCTCAAGACCTTCAAACAGACAGGTGTCTCAATTGGATCCACTATGGTGAAAGTATTAATCAACATTATATTAACTAGGCTCTCTTCTTTTTATAAAAGCCAACTTCCCACGGCCCAGTTTTGTTTTCGTTCTGGTTAGGGATGTATTGATGTTATTATATACGAGGTCTGTCTGAAAAGTAACGGGACTGGTGTCACAGACAATTTATTTCAATTCCAAACAACAAACTACAGGGTTACCCTTCAAAGTAATCTCACCTCGAGTCTAATGCACTTTTCCAGCTGTTTCTAACAAGCTTCTATGGACTGCTGGAATGATTCTTCTTGGATGTCCCACAGCTCCGTCATTACGACCCTCTTGATGGTCTCCACGCCTTCAGGAATTCTTGATGATCCCCTTGAGCTTGGGGGAAAGAAAAAACGTCTCACACAGCACGGTCAGGTAAATAGGTGGTTCCAGTACAGCCATATTCTTCTCTGCCAAGAACTGACGGATGATCAGGGCGTTGGGAGCAGGTGCACAGTCGTGGTGAACAAGCCACGATTTGTCCTGTCACAACACTCGTCTCTTCTTGTGCACTGAGCGAAGCAAATGTCGCAGGATAGTTTTGCAGACTTACTAATTGATCGACTGATGCCGTGGCAAGAACTCACTAAAGGACACATCAAAGAACGGATAAGTCCCGTTACTTTTCAGACAGACGTATGTCATCAAACAACTCCAGGTGATGACATCCATCTCAAAAGCAGGAAATTTTATACCTGCTATGCATGTGACCACATAATTACAGACTTCCACTTCTCATGCATTAGAAACCGCTTACCAAGTTCCGAATCTGACACACATCCGTAAAATTCATAAAACCCATACTTAAAGAATGTAAGATCCCGATAGCTGTGGGCAATATAAGCTAAGTCTTTTACTCCAAAGCAGACTAAACATCACCTGTTACTCTCAAAAGTCATATATAACAACAATAACACTATCAATAATAGAATTAAACCAACACACACACATACTTAAAAACACGACTTTTCTTCAACCATAGAATCTACTTCAACATTAATAACATACGACTAACCAACAGTTAACACACGTACCGACACCACCAACTCCCAAAAGATCAACTAGAAATTTATTACACACGCATACACTCTACACATCCCATTTTTCTCCCACTGCCATCTTCAAGAATTAAATACATGAATACTACTAGACAGATACAAAAATGGCTACTAGTATTCACACAAACACGCATACACACTAACATAAAAAAACATAAGCACATGAGATCTACGTGACCAATAAAAATAGACACAGAACTCAAATATACTGGAACATTCTCTTCCGCTCTTCTTTTCCAAAACGTTCTGATGAAGCTTAAATAAAAGCGAAACATGCTAAATTTATAAACGTTTTTCATTTGGAGAGTGAGTGGCCATGGTTAAATGTAAACAAATAACAGAATTGCCCAAATAAATGGAATTGCAGTAAGCAATAACAAGAAAAAGACAAAAACAGTATCAAAGCAAACAAACGATATATGCAAGACAAATTATCAGGAATAAGGCAAAGAAACAGTAATACGATAAAAAGTTCAAAAACTAAGAATTGGTTCTGACACAGAAGAACAAATTCGGGTAAGTTTTGCACACATTCCAATACAAGATTTAGTATGAATGTTTTGTTATATTTTAGTTTCGTTTCATCCCTTCCTCCTCATTTCATGATTTCATATTTTTAATTATTTTTGTAAGAAAAAAAGGTGACATTTGTACATATAATTAAATTTTAATACAATGGGTTTTACTAGGATTCCTGGGAGGATGTGGTATATTGAATGGTGATGGATGAGTTCTTGTAGTGAATGAATAAATTGTAATCAATGAATGGGTCGTGAACCTGATCTGATTCTATGTTTAGGATAGTGTAGACCAGTCTCAACCCACTTCCCCTTCGACCTCGTGCCAAAATTGTTAATTTTGTTAACAATAAATACACATTCCAATACAATATTTGAACCAATATCCTTGGTCTATCATTTGTCTTAAGCTAGACATATTTTATTGATTTATTAAAACATAAAGCGGCAAAAATCCTTCAGTCGAATGTCTATCACTATTTTGCTGTGTCATACCGAGTAATGTCCCTTCATAACATTTTTCAGGGTTCAAACCAGGGCTGGATAACATTATGTAGGAATTTTTTTCGGTTGCGTGTACGTTTGTATGCGTAGTCGGCAGTGATAGTGGAATAAACAAAACCCAAGGCTCGAAATAACTGTTTTAACAGCTTTTATCTTGTGGCTGAAATAGAGTGCGAAATAGCTGTATTTTGCAGGCGAAAAGTGTGGTTCCCCAATTAAAAGAATTCTTGAGTAGATGTTTTGTAGAGAGATTTCTCTGCTGGTTCCCACGGGAGAAACGAGTAATCTGAGTAAAACTGCTAGGACTAGTATGAGTCTTCTACAGCAAGGGTTGTGTGTAGTTTTTCCTTTGGGTAGGTGTCTCGAAGGAAGATTTCTACGCCTGTTCCCACGGGATGAATGAGAAATCTGAAGTCAAGCTGCCAGGACAGGCCTCGTCTTCTGCAGCAAGTTGTTGAGTAGCCCTTCAGACAAAGAAAAATTAGAAAAGAGGGGCCTTGAATTTAGAGGCCGAATAGGGCTTGGTTAGCATTTTTATGACTTTTGGGACTTCCGGTTGTACTCTTCTTATTACTTCCGTTGCTGTTACTGCTGAATCGAGAAAAGTAAGGAAGATCCCACATTCCACAATAGCCAACAAGTGAGATAATTTCTATAATAGACTTAGTGGAGACTAGCAGTAAAAGAGCAGTACTAAAAAAATAACAAGACGAGGTATCCATAGACGTGGACAACGAAAGAGAACAGTCTATTGCTGTAGGTTAAATAAAGTGTTCCCTGAAGGTTGCCCGGATCTACAGATACCAGAAGAAGGCCAGAGAACACAATTATCGGAACGATGTGATAACAACAAAGATGAGGACATTTGTCCGAATCTAAATAATGTAAATATAATTGTATATTTATTCGTCTTTTTCAAAAATATTTATTGCCAAATTGTAGGTGAGCGTTATATAGTGGAAAATACTGTAACAAATCTGGAGATTTTAGAAATATCATTTTATTTAAAAAAAAGCTTTAAAAAAAAAAAAAAAAAAGCTTAAAAAAAACTCACCATACACTCCACCCCGTAGTTGTTCCAGCAATAATCATACAAGTGACTGTAGACATTCTTGGCAAATTGTCGCCTTTCTTCCACCAGTTCTGTCCAGGAATGGGGAAAAAGCGACAAGGAAATATAAAAGAAATCGCAATAATTTCGAAAGTCTTCTTAAAGAAAATGTGCCTCTCGATAGGTATCGGATTTTTATTCCTTTTTAATCTGAGAAAGCGCAATACAGTTTCGATTCCAGTTGGGAGGCACATTTTCTTGACTAAGACCTTCTAGTCCTAGGCCGGCAGATATTAGTTTGTTTTAAAAAAACATGACTGCCTACTCAAACACATATACTTACTAAATATAATGCTTATAGCAATAAGAAATAATATCGTGTGGAAAGAAATCTCTTATATATATAAAATGAAATAGATTGAGTCCAACAATTATTTAATATTTTCTGTTTTTATATTATTTTTATAGATACAATTTATTTAAGTAAATGCTCTGTTTTTAATTAAACATTGTTAATTACATTTACCGACCTGAATGTTAGAGAAATTTCGTAGAAAATATGCGTTCTCCGACAGGAATCGAACCTGTAGTGTACTGTAGTCCTATACGAAAACCATCGTTTGACCTGACGTGTTATACCATTCAGCGAAACATCTGATTAGCAAAGTCTTAATTACTGTTTATAAACACACAATCTTCGACAATTTTTCTCGATCGATCATTTCTGCTCACGAGACGTATCTTAATGTAAACAATGACAACATATAATTTCTCGAACATTGCCGTATAAACAGAGTCAGGGACAGAGGTCGACAAGAGAGGAAAACCTATCTAATAGTCGCAATTTTATTACCTCCCTTTATAAAAAAAAATTGTACTCTTGTCTTCCTACTACAAAATTAAATGTCCACATGGAATGCTATTGTCATATTTGGGCGGGAGCTGCCCAGTTTTAAATTTTCAGTCTTGATAGAGTCCAAAAGCGACTCCGAATCCTTGTTGGAAAAGAATTATTTTCCACCCTCCAACCTCTCTCTCTCTCTCTCTCTCTCTCTCACTCTCACAGACAGAATATGGCAAGCCTCTCACTGCTCTATCGCTACTTCCATGGAAAGTGCTCGGACGAACTACATTCCTCGGTTTCTCCAGTTCTAACATTCACGGCTAAGACCCGCCATACCACTCACATTGTAGCAACCCCCCCCCGTATTCCATTGGTGAGAAGTAAGTTCAACGCAAACCATTACACTGTGAACAATGTTAATGGTGCCTATAAACACAAATCTTTCACAGATTCTTAAAACATTCATATTTACTCAGTTTCGTATCCTCATGTAAACAAAGCAATTTCTAAAGAAGTGATGGATTTTTATTTATTAATCCAACAGATTTTATTACTTAAACATTATTTATAGTGGATACCCATATCTGAGTA